TTTTTTTTTTTTTATCATTAGAAAACTGTTGCTTTCGGTAAATCTCTTTTTTTATCACCTAAAAAAAATGGTGTGTTGAATTTACTCATTTTATTTTGTCAAGTGGTTGCATGAAATATTTTTCAGTTGATATAAAAATAATTAAATTAACATTAAAAACTTTTTTTTTTTGGCCGTATTTGCAGACTGGACCTACGGATTTGTATTTACTTTTTAATTTTTGATGTATTTAATTTTTTTGCAGTATTTCCACATACCGGACCGCTGATTTTTATTTTTATTTTTTGTTCTACATTGTTCATTTTAAGAATCATATTTCATTGAGATGAAGGTAAAAAAAAAAAATAAATCAAAAAAATTATTACGGTCAAATCCCATCCGTCAAAAAATATTTTTTTCAGGCTTCCATTACCACATTGATTTTGTGGTCGGCAACCAACAAATACAATCAAATCATTTGGGGACATAATTTATATTGTCATACTTATCGATTTTGATATTACATCATGTTGTGGCTTGGTACTTTTCCGCCATCTTTTGTTTTGCTGACTTCATTTCCAAACACGAGAGAGGAAATGGCGGAAGAGACCCATGCAACAGATCTGCGGCTACTTGATGATCCATCCTTGCATGATTGCAATTTGTGTTGCATACGGACTAGACGAAAGGAACATTTTCATCTTTTTTATTATACCGTATATTCTTCTTGGAGAAAATCCGACCGGAATCCCAAAGCGGGCCTAATAACAGCCCCGTCATTTGACATTTTTAATATTAATCTGCCCTAGCGTGCAAGACTTAAACGGATCAGTCAGTCTTTTCCCCAACCCCCTCGCCGTCTGACACCGAGGACCCCCCCGCGTTTGTGTGCGTCTGTCTGCGTGTCAATGCAAGAGACCTTCACCGTAATGAGTATTCCATTTTGCACAACTTAGAGCTGCCTACCTGCTGAACGAATTAGCATCGGAATCAGCATCAGGCGCACGCGAGGGCATTGATGTGAATTAAAGCTCTCTGAATTATTAATTTCCACCTGCTGGAATCACATCCTGCCCCCCTTGTTTGTCCCCTTCACGCCATGAGCGCTGTCGCACGTCTACCTTTTTATCATCATCAAACCAAACACCACAACATCACAAATCAATGTTGAGATGTTGCAGTGACGGCGTGATTTAATTTGTATTGTTTTTAATGTTCCTTCACGAGAACTGTGAAGATGTTTGGGCCCTTTTGGGAGTTTCTGAAGCGGGCCTCTCTGGCTGTGATTAATATTAATTATTGTGGGCAATTAGGGGGCTCACATTTGTTGTGTTAAGTGCTTTGTGATTTGTTAATGTTCATGTTTAAGGTTAATTGAAGCATGGGGAAATATAAAGGACACTTCACATTGATTCCTTTCTCAAAGGCAAAAGTCTATTGAAGTATTTGGCGGTCTCGGGAAAAAGATGTAGCATTATACTTTTCGAAGTCACAATATATAATGTGGTGTGTGAACTGCAATCGGTGTATCGGGGTGGGGAGGGGTAGTTTCACTCTTCCACTTCTTATACTTAATAAATGTCACTTTTAAAAGGCTAAAAGAAGACTTAAGTACCGATGCTGTTAATCGTTATACTTCTGGCCGAAGTTCTTCTTCTTCATCTTCCATATAGAAGTGCGCTACGGAAAGAAGCGTGCTCCGTCTGCCGCAGCGCACGCGGACGATCTGCTTACTAGCTCCGTTCATATTTTTTGGAACTTTTTAGTTGAAAATGGCTTACCAGAATCTAAATCGCGTTGTTGCCAATCTTGGTAGATTAATGTACAGTAAATGCTTGTTGTGGAAGTTCAACATGAATCCCCCTCTTGTTGTTCTTCGGGATTTTGAGGGGGACAAGCTCTAATATTCATCTCGTTTTTTTTTTGGGGGGAGGGTTTTTTTTTTTTTTTTTTTTTTTTTTTTTTACATTTGTTGACGAGTCGGTTTTAGAAGGAAGAAAAATAGCAAGAAAATCCGCACTATAGCGAGGTAAAACCGCAATAGAAGAAGTTATGTTCACGAATGAAAAGCTGCGACGGAGGGAAACCTCAATAACCGAATCGCGATTTCATTAGGGAACCCTCTTGTTGTTCTTCGGGATTTTGAGGGGGACAAGCTCTAATATTCATCTCGTTTTTTTTTTGGGGGGAGGGTTTTTTTTTTTTTTTTTTTTTTTTTTTATTTGTTTGGTTTTTTTTTTTACATTTTTTGACTAGTCGGTTTTAGAAGGAAGAAAACTAGCCAGAAAATCCGTACTATAGCGAGGTAAAACCGCAATAGAAGAAGTTATGTTCACGAATGAAAAGCTGCGACGGAGGGAAACCTCAATAACCGAATCGCGATTTCATTAGGGAACAATATACAATATAAACAACAACTATATTGTTTTGAAACTTTTTTTGGGGGGGTGCCGGGGTCACACAAACTCTTTCCACTTGACTCGTAAAAAATGCCAACGCGCCGACGAAATCCGCAATGTGTCGCGCACCGTATCGAAATCATCGAACCGCTCGGCAACCCCGAGTCCGCGATTACAAATGAGAAAAGTGACCTACGCTCTCGCCACGAAAGTCATCGAAAATGCAAAATGTGCTTCGGTGAGGTCCAGAGCGCCAAATTAAAAGTGCGAACACATCCCCGCTTCCCCTGCGGCTTGAAAGCATTTGGACATGACAGGCCGTGCCAGAGTCTCTTATATTCCCACTATAGAAGACCTCAGTCTTGCTCGCTGTCAGCTCAAACGGTCGTTTCTTTCAGTGGCTCTCATCTGTATGCGCTGCGTGTTTACTTATCAGTAGTCCGACTCTGTCTATCTGTCAAAGTGAAGGAGTCCATTTTCCCCTCGCTGTTTATTGTCCTCTCTTTGCACAGTACGTAGCCCACCATCTCGCGTCGCATCTGTCGCTCGCGGTCCGTCGGCGGATCGCTTTCTCCTCGCCGTCTCTCGCAGCAGTCGGTCCCTCCGGCCTCCTCGGAATGCAAACGCATATCTTGAGTTGAACACCTTGAAGGAAGAGATCCGGATATGAGCGCGCGCGTGTGCGCACACGTGTTTCCGCCATGTTCCATTTCATCCAGCCAGTCCCGGTCGACACATTAGACAAATTGATCGGTTGGTTTGCCAGCTGTCCTGGCAGATCTTTCCTTCTGCCTCTTCCCCCTCGGAAAACCTTCGTTTCCAGTGAACACGTATATATTAAAACTCGTTCAGTATCACCCAATTCTAGACCAAGTCTGAAATGACGTTTAAAAACGTCTTTGGGAGTGAACGAGTTCAGACGATGACAGGCACATTTCTTGTGATCTCGTTTCACGGTGTTGCACGCTTTTTGGGAGAGTCCATCTTTTGTTGACAAATGGCTGACGGTCCCTTTTGACTGACATGACCTTGCGCGGCATTGACTTTTGGTGGCCGCGCGAACGACCCCTCGCCGTGGAAGATGATTGGCAGCGCACGAAAAAAAAAAAACAGCCTGCTTTTGTGATCCGAGCGGCTCATATCGTGTCCATCGGCCCCGTATTATTAAAACGCTTCTTCTGCATGCCGCGGTGGAATTTTCCAGCTCGTCCACTGAAATGAAGAGATAAGCAGCCATCTTGGCGACAATTTGATGTCATCGTTATTTGGCTCCGTCTTACCTGCCTCGCCTTACCGTTTGTGCTTCACCGCCGCGGTGGTTTTTGCTGCGCTCGATGCTCCGAGTCTGATTCACACTCCGGCATTGATGCAAATACGCCACACTCATGTCACCTTGTTTGACCTTGACGGTTCTCGAGCTGTTTTACAATGTCGCCATACGCTACAAGGAGAGGAACACAGCACCAAGAGCGAACGGGTTTTGTGTCGCTCGGAAATCCTCCGATAGGATTTAAACTGCACTGGGAGTCAGATTTGCGATTGTTCGACAGCGCCACCTGAGCCATGCCTCTCCCGCCAAATGCAAAGATTTCACCCTCAGGAGACGGCGCAGCCTTTCAGTAGCATTCCGTGAGGTAATTTGGATGGTCGCAGCAGGATTTGTGATGACCCCCGAAGCACTCCGTATTTATGCTCCGCTCATATGTGAGAACGTAGCCTGCAGGTTAGCGTTTGGACTTAAATTATACAGCCTCCACTTTGTGGGTGTAAAGAAAGTGCCGAGCTGGGGAAGCGAAACAAACTATGGACAAACAGCATCCCTTAAGACAGCATTGTATACAATTTTTTTTTTTTTTGGTGTGGTCAGTGATTTTTTTTTTCCTTTTCTCAATTTTGTCAAAAAAAAAAAAACAACTACCTGTCTGCACGCTAACACCCTGAATATTAAACTTGGCTCGAGTCTCGAATGTTAACGCGATACGAAGTAGACCTTTGGGAGCCAACGTGTTTTTGACGGGAGACGACGAAAAGCGCAGAGCCAGAATGCAAAACTGCTAATGCAAACCCATCGCTTAGAATCATAAGTCTCAGAAGAGAGATCAGAGTATTGAACAGGAGCTGGCATCCTGATTTCACAGCCATTATCACCTGCTCCAAAGGCACATGGCAAGTGGGAAATGAAACGGCGTGGCGCCAGCGCGGAACAGCCACTTTTTATTCGCCGCGTGTTTAATGCGAGACGCCTTGTCACGCCCGCATTGAGCTTCATTAAGCTTCCGTCGCACGGCGTGTAGTGTACTCCCGTGTAAGGTCATAAGTGCTTATCACCCGCAACCATATTCCCACCTTTTGTAGTCAATCCCCGGTAAGTGCAGCGGTTGCACTTTGGGGACGTCGCGGATACTTCAGACGCCTCGCAAATCGAGTGGGCCGACTCTAAACAACACCCCCAAAATGGAGCTTGAGGCTTTTCCAAATTGGAGCCCGTCGCATTCCTCTTCCTGCTGTTGTCCTAATGTGGGGACCGAAGTGAAGTTAGACGCCACCTGTCAAGCAAAAATGCTGCAAAATAGAATTTCGTGGCCCCATCTGATATTTTCTGCGTGTGTGTGTATGTTGCAGCATGTCCCCCCGGATCATACAAGATGTCGTCCAGGCAGCAGGAGTGCTTCCCCTGTCCCGCAAACAGCGTTTCCGAGGATGACGGCTCGGTGGCGTGCGTGTGCAGAGAGGACCACTTCAGAACTCCCCTGGATTCGCCCTCGTCACCATGCACACGTAATAACATCCGCGTCTTGCCACTTGGATGGTTTGCGATTAAATGAGCGATCATATGTGTCAGCTTGGTCGTTCGGGCTGGTTAACTGGTGTGTCACGCCTCCATATGCTTGCTGAGGAATCACTTAAGCCGTGTGTTGGACTTCACTCGACGCCTCTTATCTGTCACCCCCCCCCCAAAAAAACCCTTCTTGAACATCCGTCCTCATCCGCCTTTCTCTTCCCTCCTCATCCCTTCATTTCACATCCCATCTGTCTCCCCCCCACCTCATCGTTCACCTTGTGCACCTCCTCTGCTATTGAATTTCCTTGAAAAATTGCCAAGCGCTCCCCCAAGATAAAGACGGAATGCGGTATGCATTTTTTTAACCCCCCTCCCTCCCCCCACCCATGAATCTCATGTGAGATGTTTCGCAGCCGGTGACCCGAGCATCCATCTTATTTCTTTATTAAAATGACTTTTTTCGAGATGTTTTCATTTTGTGCAGATTTCGCTTCGCAATACCAAGAATGCGGAGATAACGGCTAAATCCAGTCTTCATTTGATACGATTTGCTAGTTGATGCTCCCCTGGAGAGTTAAAAAAAAAAAAAAAAAAACATTCCAGACCATTTCAAGGTCTACTATCCACTCACTGAAACAAAATGTAACTTGTATTGCGTCTGTCGCCACCTTAACCTCTTTTGTCTATATTTAACGTTGGCCCGGTAACAAATGACTCACGGACCAGTACCGGTCCGCGGCCCAGGGGTTGGGGACCTCTGGTTTAGGGCACCACAATGTACAGTAGAATTTGAAGGCTTCACTCTCTGGTCTCGTTCACTCCCAAAGACATATTTATGTCTTTTCAGACTCCACACATTCAATCCCTGATACATATTTATGTTTTTTTTTTCAAGTTTTAATATAGGAAAATAGAACTGCCTTATAAAACAGGTTTGATATGTATTGTTAATATAGTAAAGATTCAGATTTTATTCAAACACGGGTCTGATGATATTGAAATTACAGGCATAAATATTTGTTTTGTTTTTTTTGATGCGTGAATCGCGCTGGGAGAGGTCTGCCCCTTGCAGTTTTGAAATCCAAATAATTGTAATCTCTGAATTAAGAGAGCGCTCGAAATGAGCATAATAGGTCCCCCTTTTAACTCATCCCCGCCACTCACCGCTCTCTCTTTTTTTTTTTTTTTTGTCGCGTCTCATTTCCTCTTCTCTCCGTTCGCTCATCCATTTCACACGGGGCACACATATTGCGACGCGATTCTTCATCCTTCTGTCAAACTGAAATTTCTTGCCTCTGTCCTCGAGCAACAAGCACATGCGGCACGCTACAATCTCACCCCCGCTGTCTGCACGTTATCATTTCATCCCTCACCCCTCAGCCCTCCTCCCCTCCCCCAAAAGCTCCTCTTGCATGCCAAATACCACAACTCTCCAATAAAGATGCATTACGGGGCCAGTAGGACAAAGCCCATACAGGAGAGCTGGATTGATTTCTGCATAGAGAACAGCTTAGTAATTAGATGGCAAAATAATGGGCTGTATATCCTCGCGAGTACTCGGGAGCACTAAAACCACGGGGTCACGAGGTCTGTTACGTATGCACACATCCACGCACGGATTCACGAGTGCGCGGTCATACTGGCTTTTTACGGCGCGGTTTAATTACAATATCGATTGCTGAGCTCTGCGATCCGCCCCGCGATAACGTTTATAGCAGCCTAATGACCACATTAATTACACAATTGATTCGCTAATTATGATCATCCCCAGATTTGGCTAATCCTCCGCGTGGATCGAGAACAGGGAGTAAGAGAAGGAGTTTTTATTTTTGTGTTTGTTTAATCTGGAATTAAATAACAACAGGAGTGATGAATAAATCGGTAACATCCAATGAAAGAGATTTTTGAAGTATTTGGGAGAATTGCTTGTGTTTGCTAACTTTGCGTTCTATTTATACTTGGTGTTTAATAGAATGTAACCCTTTAAGGGACAGCGGTCGCTACAGCTTCTCATGTTATCAGGTTACACTGCAGGGGTGTCAAACTCATTTTTGTCTCGGGCCAGTTTTGTCGGAAGGCCGTGACTGACAGTGAAAGCGCAAAAATGTTTCATCGCTTTATGACTTATAAGGGTAACAAAGTGATTGCAAATTCTCAACGTCATGAATTACACGTGATAATTTGACATTTTTGGTCTTTTTTTTTTTTTTTAGGGCCGTTACTGACAGTGAAAGCGCAAAAATGTTTCATCGCATTATCGCATTATTTCTTATAAGGGTAACAAAGTGATTGCAAAATCTCAACGTTATTAATTACACATGATAATTTGACATTTTTGGTCCTTTTTTTTAGCAAGGATCATGCAAGTTGACACACGTGACTTTCTTTCAGGGGGCCACATAAAATGATGTGACTGGCCGGATCTGGCCCCCGGGCCTCGAGTTTGACACCTGTGGGTTACAGGGTGCATGAAAGGGTTAATGTTAGTGCTTTCCATGCTAGCGGCAGTCAAATCAAGCGGGCTTTTTTGGACAAGTGAACGGCTCCAATGACGCATCCTTGAAAGTGATGCAGAATATTTGCCAAGGCATTCCTCTGCAAATTGATTGATGCCGACAACTTGCAGCCAAAATGACAAAGATGAAACAGAAGAACTATTTTGACGGTTGGAGCAATCCATCAACGTAGACATCAACAGATTTTAATGATAGGTGCAAAAAGTCACCACACCGTATCTTGAGGCATTACATTTGAACTCGCTTTCCATTTGTAGCGGCCATTTTTTGAGGGGGGGCTGATTGGATTTATTTAATTCACATTAAAAGGAAGTTTGTCCCAGATGGGGAGTGTACAACAAGAGCAAAGGATAGGAGAGAGACGAGTCAGGGAGTGAGACAGGAAGCGGGTTACGTTTTTTTAATACGGAGAATTAAAATTAGAAAACGTAGCACTCTTACTCAGGGAAATTAGAAAAGTTCCCCGAGTAAGAGTGCGGCATGACGAAAGTCCCAGCTGGGTCTTCATCAAATAAATGTAAAGGATAGGAGAGAGACGAGTCGGGGAGTGAGACAGGAAGCGGGTTACGTTTTTTTTAATACGCAGCAGAGCGCAAAAACAAGAAAAGTTCCCCGAGTAAGAGTGCGGCATGACGAAAGTCCCAGCTGGGTCTTCATCAAATAAATGCCGCGATGTCCTTTTGATGTGATGTAATTTTGCTCTCCTTGTGGCCTCCAGTGAGCAGCTGCCGTTTGTGACGCGTTTGCTCACGCACGCTCTTACTTATTCATCACGTAGGACACACGCACGTTGACATATAAAATGCATGGGCTTTAATGGACATCAGCTCTCTTGAGCACTCCGAGAAAAGAACAAACGCGGGTCGGTCAAGACACGGCGGGGGGTTCGATTTAGTCAGCTGACCTGCACTCGCCCGTATTCGTAAACACTCTGCGGTTTCAAATGCGAGTTAAGACTTGAGAATTCGATTTTGTTTTCGGTGACGTCAATTTTATGAAGTCATCCATCCATCCATTTTCGGAACCGCTTCATCCTCACAAGGGTCGCCGGAGCCTATCCCAGCTGTCTTCGGGCAGTAGGTTGGGGACACCCTGAACCGGTTAAAAGCCAATCGCACGGCACACAGAGACGAACAATCGTATGAGCTCACACTCACACCTTGGGACAATTCAGAGTGTTCGATCAGCCTGCCATGCATGTTTTTGGAATGTGGGAGGAAACCGGAGTACCCGGAGAAAACCCAAACATGCAAACTCCACACGGGAAGGCCAGATCCGGGATTTGAACCCACGACCTCTGCACTGTGAGGTCGACGCGCTAACCACTGGACCACCGGGCCGCCCTGTATGAAGTCAATGCAATGTATTTTCCTTTTTTAGGGCCCCCGTCTCCTCCCCGAGACTTGGTTTACACCATGAAGCAGTCCACTCTCATCTTGGAATGGGCCGCGCCATCCGACACGGGTGGTCGGGTGGATCTGACCTACAGCGTGGGTTGCCGGCGCTGTCCCGGCAGGCGCTGCGAGCCTTGCGGGGCCAGCGTGGGTTTTGTGCCTCAGCAGATCGGTCTGACGGAGAGGACGGTGACTGTGGTCAATCTCCTCGCCAATACGAACTACACCTTCACTGTGGAGGCTTTGAACGGAGTGTCCGAGCTTCTACCCAACAAGAGGTTCTACACACAGGTCAATGTGTCAACAAATTTGCCTGGTGAGTCACGGTTCTTCCAAATGCCAAAATTATATCAATAGATAGATAGATGGACACGTCCGGGCCTTCGCAATTTGAATCGACTATTCATGCAAACACGCATAGATGTTTATATTTTGAAAATGCCGATTTATATGCAAATCTATCACTCAAACAAAATGGAAACTCTTCGAAGATTGCCAAACTAATTAGAAAAGTGAGAGTCGTGACACGAAGATGATGCGACCGCAGGGAGTGAAGGGAAATGAGAAATGTTTTGGGGTTTTTTTTCTGTTTGCTAAGCGCTTGAATTTGAATCGACCGTGAGGAAACGGGCTTCCGACAGAAGTGGGGGGGGTGGCGTGGTCTTCAAAACGGACGGTGAGATGCATGCAGCCGGTGGGATGTTCTTGTCGACTGAGCCGACTCACATTTGATTCCGTATGTCAAGTGTCACAAATGTCAAATGTTCCATTGAGCAGATAACAGCAATGTGATGTGAAGTGTGATCACAGAGGGAATTATTCGCATCTCCTTCATGTCACTTCCTAGTTTGTGTGTGTGTGTGGGGGGTCTGATTGAATCATTTTATGACCTGGGCCCCATTTTTTTTTTTGTCTAAAGTGTGATTTGAGGGCCCTTGAAAATGTAAATATTTTCCAAAAGTCAAATCCTAAATTATTGGAAAACGATATAACCACATTACTTAGCTTTTTTTGGAACATTCTAATCAATGAATGATTAAGATTTTTTTTTTGGTGGGGGGGTTGGGGGTCGAATTAGCAGTTAAGCATGACAGTGCTTTAACAATGCAGGTGTTTGGTAATTTTGTTTGTTTTTTTTTCTCCTGAATTGGTTTTGAAGCCACGATAATTCTGCCTGACAGCAATGATGTCACAAGGAATGTTTGCTGATTTGTGAAGGAGCAATGGACGGCTCCCAAACAGATGGAATATTTTTTTTCCACTCACCCTCTGGCCAATGGGGGCATGAGGGGCAGGAGGAGGGG